TAAAGATACCCCATTGAATCTGTAAAGCAACCAGTGGCCCCAATGCGTTCTTGTGGCGTCTTCGAAGCTCCCGTCGCCCAAGCCGCTTGAGTTCTCCCTGAGGAGTTGCGCGACTCTCTCTGGGAGGCAGCCCTGAACAGCCAAACCGAGGCAAAGCGCGCAGAAGACTACTACGACGACGACGACTACTTCTACCACAACTACTACCACTGCCACTGGCACTACCACTACTACTACTACTACTACTACTACTACTACTACTACGACTACTACTACTACTACTACTACTACTACTATTAATACTACTACTGCTACTACTACTACTACTACTACTACTACTACTGCTACCACTACTACTACTACTACTACTACTACTACTACTACTACTACTACTACTACGACTACTACTACTACTACTACTACTACTACTACTACTACTACTACTGCTACTCCCACTGCTACTGCTGGCACTGCTACTGCCACTACCTGCTACTGCCACTACGTACTGCAACGGCTACTGCCACTGCTACTAGCACTGCCACTGCCACTGCTGCTACTGCTACTACTACTACTACTACTACTACTACTACTACTACTACTACTACTACTACTACTGTTACTGCTACATGATGCTGCTGCTACTACTACTACTACTACTGTTACTGCTACATGATGCTGCTGCTACTATTACTACTACTGTTACTGCTACATGATGCTGCTACTACTACTACTACTACTACTACTACTACTACTACTACTACTACTACTACTCCTTGTGCTACTGCTACTGCTAGTGCTAGTGCTAGTGCTGCTGCTACTGCTACTGCTACTGCCACTCCCACTGCCGCTGCCACTGCTAACTGCTGCTACTCCTACTCCTACTCCTACTCCTACTCCTACTCCTCCTACTCCTACTCCTACTCTTTTCTCCTACTCCTACTCCTGCTGCTGCTGCGACTACTACTACGACCACTGCTGCCACTATTATCTACTGCTAGAGTTCCGACAACAGGTCGTGCGGAGTCTTCTGGAGTTTCGTGTCGACCCAGCATGTGTCGCTCTCAGACCAGCATGTGTCGGGGATCAAGGATTGTTCAGCTGTTTTTCCTGTATGTTGCGCTGCTACGAGTTGACACGGATGCAGTGCACACACGTCACTCCGTCATGTTGCACATACAGTTCGGATTGCGTCTTCTCCTGAAGCGATGCCAGCTCTTCCGAAAAACGAATGTGCAGCGCCTCGTAGTCAGGCAAGCCGTCCTCCAGCATCAGCAGACCGCCGGACCCTTTGAGGTGCTCGGCTTAGCTTTGTCATGGCCTTGACTATATTGTATTATATTATATCATATTATACTATATTATACTATATTATATTATATTAGGTTATGTTATATTATATTATATTATATTATATTATATTATGTTATGTTATATTATGTTATGTTATATTATATTATGTTATATTATATTATGTTATGTTATATTATATTATATTATATTATATTATTTTTTATTTTTATATTATATTATATTTTTATATTATATTATATTTTTATATATCATATTATATTATATTATATTATATTATATTATGTAATATTATATTATATTACATTATATTATATTTTATTATATTTTATTATACTATATTATGTTATATTATATTATATTATATTATATTATATTATATTATATTATACTATATTATATTATATTATATTATGTTATGTTATGTTATATTATGTTATGTTATATTATGTTATGTTATATTATATTATATTATGTTATATTATATTATGTTATATTATATTATATTATATTATATATTGCCGTTGTGTGTCGCGTCTATCTGCAGGTATCCGCAGTGGACTCCTCTTGTGGCCCTGGCCGCGAGTGGAAGCACCTTGACCAGGTCTCAGAGGCTGAGGGTGTGGAAGGGTAGCAGCGATTCTTGCGAGTCATGGTTGGGCTTGGAACCAGGAGGAAACAGACTGTGACTCGCGGCTTGCAGTTGTTGACATACTGGCGATGCTAGATTGCTAGATAATCTGTCAAAATATTGAGGGAAAAGATAGTGCTGACACTGATGGTGATGAGAACGCTTATGACCGTGGCAATAAAGGCATCAGATGGTGCATGCATTCTTGTCGACGTCGTCCTCGTCGTCGTCGTCCTCGTCGACAGCGGCTCATACGGGCCACCCACTTCACTTGCAGGATGTGTTCGTTTTTTGGGTTCAAGTCCGACATGCATGGAATCATGACAAAACGGGCGAGACCTGTGGAAGGGACGGAATTTCTCATGAACCGATGAGCAACCCGCAATCCTCCACAATGCAGATTCTCCCAACAGCAGGTAGCCAACAGTGACCGAATAGGGATCCCACAATCGAGGCAACTTTGTGAAACAGGACAGCGCATTCAGCAGTTTGGGGTCCCGCAATCCTTTCCGGAATGCGGGTCGGAAGTCGATCGGCTAGGTGATCGTCACACTAATCATGATAAGTGATTACATTGCTTTGCCGTCGAAGCTTTGCGCTATCCAAGGTGTGGATCGTGCTCAGGTCGTAGCAGAGCTACTGTCAGCCCAGACAGCGTCTGCAGAGCACGGCGCTCACACCACAAGTGGCTATTTTGAGTGTTGGTGTACTAACTTGACAATCCAAAGTCAGGCTTGCCGACGAGACCGTTGCGCAGCACTTTGTCAAGGCAATCTGTAAGATGGTTCCTATAATATGATGTGTGCCTTTTTCGTGTGCTTGCATTCCGCGACAACATGACCAGGCTCGCGACAAACATCCAGCTTGCCCTCAGATAGATTTTCAGGGTGTGGCACCTGGCTTTCTGCCGCTGGGCAGACGTGCCCATGGCTGTTCCTCTCTGTTAGCATGAAGTGTCGGGTTCATTGCTTGCTCTCCTTCTTTGCTCAGGGCCGCAAACGACCGTTCCCGCAAGTGCCGACGGCTTCAGTGGAACAGCTTTGACCAAGGCCGCTGCAGTGCTTATGCAAAGTGTTCGGCCTCGGGGCCTGAGTTCTTGTATCGGCAAGGCCCTTGCTGCGCTTCATCCCAATGAGATGGAGTCTTTTGTGGGAGATCTTCGACCGGAGGCGGAATCGGTGTCGTTGTCGTTGTTGTCGTTTCATATAGTTGTGGTTGTGGTTGTTGTTGTGGTCTTGCTTGTGGCTGTGGCTGTGGCTGTGGCTGTGGCTTTTGCTGCTGATGCTGCTGGTGCTGTTGTTGTTGTTGCTGCTGCTGTGGTTGTTGTTAGCATTGGCATGCGGATTTAAAAATAGATAGGCAGCTAGGCCATCAGATGTGGAATCCGCTTGGACGAGACTTCCCTGGAAATGCCTTCTGGAGTTGCCACGTGCTCTGTCGGCGTACCTTTCTCATGAGCCCGACCCTTGCCAGGAGCTGGAATCACTTGAGGGCCGGCTGGAGGACTGGTAGTGTATTGTACAACTAGTTCCTGCAGCTGTCACCGGCAACGCGTCATCACCACTGTTACCTACAGTCCCATGTCACCTTATCATCCATGACCGAAGCCATGAGAATCGCTGATCATCTCATCACCACCTTTCATAGTAGCAGGAAGAACAACCTTCGTCATCACCGCCCTTCATAAATTCAAACGCCATCATCACCGTGGTCATCATCGTCGCTGTGACTTCCATGGGCATCACCATCGCCACCACAACCACCACCACCATCATCGTCCTTACCAGCTTCAAAGCCGTCATCACCGAATCATTTCCATCACGACCATCGCTGTCATCATCGTCGTGCTTGGCATGCAATCCCACTTCGGAGTAGCACCAGCAGCAGCAGCAGCAGCAGCAGCAGCAGCAGCAGCAGCAGCAGCAGCAGCAGCAGCAGCAGCAGCAGCAGCAGCAGCAGCATCGGCAGTGATCGTAATCTTGTATTGACTTGTAGTGCTTTAGGCACAAGGCCAGCGACGACTAGGTGTAGCACACTCCGTAGGTAGACGGAAGACGGCTGCGATCCGGACCACGGCGCGGTGTTTTATGGTATTGCATGGCGCGAGCCAGCACGTTTATAGCAGCAGCATCTAGCATCCTGTACCACTGCATACTGCATAGTGTTATGTCATTTTACAGTGCTATACACAGGTTTTAGGCTCTGATATAACATTGTATTGGGTAAGCCAGTGGTGCAGTCCAGACGGTATTACACGGCATCATAGGGTACATGTAAGCTAAGACGGACTACTGTATTCCTGTATAAACTGTGGCATGCTTTCGTTTTCTCCAGAAGTTTCTTTTGGTGCTGCACGCCAGGTTGTGTTGTCATGCCGAGTAGACAGATGATCGACAGATAGAGACACACACATGTATCCTTGCATTGAACCTGTCTACTTTGCCTATATATGTGTGTTTGTCGCTAAAGGTCCACCAGACCCCCGCCTGGCACACGGATTGAAGGCACTGCTCTGCGCCGTCCGGAAACGACGACAATACTGGCTGGAAGCTTGCCTGCAGATCACACCGCATGGCACAGAAGCTACTGGTAGCAGCTAGCACATCTAAGAAAGAGATGAGTGCGAGACTCTCGATCGTAGGAATGAGGTGGTTGGTGGATGTTGGCACCGTTTTGTTGATCGATGCTCCACAGTCTCAAAGTGGATGACCAGAAACCTCTCACGGTCTCGCAGCTATCCTCCCAAAGAGTTGCGCCTCCGGGTGTAATGGCCAGCTTCCAGCACCTGCAGACTATCGAAGTTCTGCATTCAGAGAACACCTCCCGTTACCCAGGATATGAATGCGGTATTTCGACGTCAAGAGAAAACAGAGGGGGAAAGCCGGAGAATGAGCATGAAACGAGTGGTGCTTGGGCCTGTGGTCTGCTCGAGGAAGCTTGTCCGTGGTTCTTTCCAGTCGCAAATAAGAAGAGCAGGATGAGTGACTTGTCCTCGTGTGTCCACATGTTATCCATGCGTGACGGAGAAGGTGCTCTGACAGAAGAGGCTCGAAACAGAAACATACTCAAGAGGTTCCTTTGACCCGGACTCTGGACACTCAGCCTGTACTCATCCTGGGGGTCTATGGAGCTTTCTCGCAGATTGAGCCCTCTTTCCTACTTTTGAACAAAACCGCCGGGACTCTGCAGACTCTTAGCACCGCATCCAGGAAAGGCGCCTCGAAAGTGCTCAAAGGAAGCGTGAGCCCCGGGAGAACGTCGCTTGGAGGTACTGCTTGTACGAGCATTGTCATTTCTACGGCATGACCATCTCGTCAGTATTGGCTCTGGTGGTGGTGGTGGTGGTGGGGGTGGTGACGGTGCTGGTGCGGGTGGGATAGTACTCGTGGTGGTAACGACGACGATGATGATGGTGGTGATGATGAGCGACTGTGTTGGTGGTGGCTGCCACCGGCGGCTAATGCGGCTGATGCCATGTGTATCAACTGTGTATGCGAAGGCTGGTTCAGATCCCACTGCAGCATACTGCAGCATGTAAAGCGAGTTGACGGCTGAACCCTTGTGACAGCCCGCAAGGCATGATGAGGCATGCGGTGGACTCAGGGTCTTGGGTAGAGCTGCCAGTGTCTACGACCAAAGCTCGTAAGAATCACAGCTTCGGGGTTCAAGCTTCGTCTGGGCTAGGATATGCTTGGATCCTGTTTTCCCAAGGCCGTGGAAGGCAGACTCTGGAAGAGGAGCAGGCGACCGGAAGGGGCATCCTAAAAATTCCTTGACTTCTCAAAGCTTTAGCAAAAAGTGATGGCAAAGTTGCCGCCAGTGCTGCGTGGTCTGCTCCGAGTTCCAGAAATCGGTCCTCTTTATGCCGTGCAGGCGCTCCTGCTTGCGTCACATGTCGAGGATGCTAAAGTTGCTAGGTCATAGGAACCGGATTGCAGGCATTTGTGCACGTGCCGGGATTGTGCGGCCCCTCTTCAGTGAGTAGCCCAGGCTTTTTGCTCTCGAACCAAAGAAACAGAAACACCAAGCAAACTCAGGCTGTGCCCTATCTGTCGGTCCAGCATCGAGGAGAAGCTCCAATGCATACAGCCCTGAGAATAGTTGAGGTGTGGGGGGCAAGGGCCAGGAGGAATTCGTGCCTCTCAGCTTTCTGTGACATCCAAAATTGCATGGTCCGTATACTCGTATCGTGCAAGCTACTTGCGATCTTGTCCGAACTCAGCCACAGTGCAATCTCAGTTCTGAGCCTTTGCAGCCGCAACTTTTCCCACAGCCCTAAAGCCTGAACCGGGCTGCGCCGTAAGCTGCAAATCCAAGCTTCCTGTTCTCTCGGGCAGTGGCCGGAAAGGGCCAGCGCCTTGCCCGGACCAAAGAGGCCAAAGAGCCTGACGGAGCCAAAGTTTGCTCCTAGCAGTTCTAGCACAAAAAAGCTCGGATCTCTTGCGTTGACCACTGCCAGTTTGATTCATTGTTGGTCGTGCTGGAGTACGGTTTGTGGTACACACTTCTTGAGACGGTGCAGCACGAGTGGAACATTCGCACATCTGCGGGTCGATGCCTATTGCGTTGTGTGAAGTGCGACACAGTCGGGAGGCAAGGAGCATTGTCTTCGAGAATCGGCTGCTGGTGTCTAGCCATCTGGCTTCAGTGATGCACTTGTAGGTAGTCGCAAAATGTCGCAAAATTACACACAGCATCTGCATGTGTTGATGTGTTGGTTTGGGGCAGATGGCAGATCGTTCGTAAGGTGGAACCTCCCGTAGCTGTCCACGATGCCGAGATGCCCTGTGATGGGCCTCCTCCTTACCAGTGTGCCAGTGGCACCGGCCTTCGTGGTCCCGCAGGCTGAGATTGAGGGAGAGAGAGGCACACGCCCGCCCAGCGGCTTTGTGACCCCCGCCACATCGTCGTCAGCCGGCAGCTCGAGCAGTTCCAGGCCGTGGTGCCTTGCAACAGCTGCAACCGTGGCAGCGCTGGGGTCACGATCTTCCAGGACGGTCATGCGCGGCCTCAAGGATCGGGTGAAAAAGGACTTCAGCGTGAAGAGTGCCATGATCCGGAGGCTCGGGAAATGGCGGCTGATGAAGGAGTTTGACATGCGGAAGCAGATCATGGAGAACCCCGACATGGCCAAGCGCTGTGGAAAGTCCCAGGAGGCGCTCATCGAAGACTTCAACAGGGCTTCCAACTACTTGAAGACTTCCCTGGGTCTGGAGGACCAGAGCGCCGAGATTTGCATCTCCAAGGTGTCCACGGGATTGAACATGCAGTATTTGGGAAAGCCGAACATCCCCTCGAACGAGGAAATGGCAACAGTCATGGACTGGCTTGTGGAGAATTTAGCCGTCACCAGAGAGGACGGTTCTCTCAAGAGAGTGGTGGAGCAGTACCCGTTCATGCTCGGTCGCAGCCTTGATGACCTGGAGGAGTCCCAGAACTTCTGCCCGGAGGACATCGACTTCAAAGTCGCAGTTGCAGATGACCCAGCCTTGATCGACAAGACTTACAATTGCCAGGGCATTTGTGCATCCCAGTGCGTGTCGTGCTGGTACAACGGTTAGATGCGAGCGCCGCATGCAGTGCAGCAGTCAACGCAGTTTTCCGCACAGAGCAGAAAAGAGGGTCCTTGCAGTGCATCCAGCGCGTTTGGCATGTTGTCGGTGCAGCCGGAGCAGTACAGAGCTCCGGTCTCCTGTCTCCGTTGGTCCAAGTGAGGAGGGCGATTGCCCACGTATGGCCTGGGTAGAATCTGCGCTGCAGCCATGAAGATTGAGGAGGCTGTGCCCGAGTGGCTCCTTCGGGAGGGGGGCGGGGGGTGTGCATAAACGGTCTCTTTTCAAGGCTCTCGGCTGTGATGTGGATTGACGATTTGTTTATCTGCCGTAGGTTCATTCCAGGGACGAAGCCAGGAGGATTTCGCCGTGCCTCAAGCCTTGTACCCAGGTGCAGTCCACCACCAAGACTCAGCGCATTGCGACCCATAGCCACATCAAAGGCCTGGGACTTGCCGAGGACGGGCTTCTACATTGCTAGACAAACCAAAAGATGCTGAAGTTCTTTCGGTGTGAGATGGCAGGCGACTTCCCAAGTGCACAACAAAGCCGATACGTCGCACGAGGAAAAATGTCTTTTTTTGTTAAATTTCGGCTGAGTCGCTAGTCTCGCGCGCGCGTGTGTGTGTTCCCCAAAATCTCAGCACAGCATCGCTCTGAAACCCTGAGAAGTGAACATGCCCGGAGCCGTGACGCTGCAAGAGCACTCCGCACCACTCCCAGCCCCCCAGCCTCTGCATCCAACGGCAGGATGGAACAGCAGAGCAGGTGGCCAGCGGCCTCGTGGGGCTTGGGCCTCAGGGCTGAGCTCGAACCCCGACCACCCATCCCCTTCCCCTTCTCCCCTGCCTCGAAGCCCTTGGACATTGACAACGTGCATAAGTGCCAGGCAGGAGAAAGCCCGAGAGGCTTGCGGTGTCACGGTCGATCTCATCAAGTCCAAGAAGATGGCGGGTAGGCCTGCAGACGGCAAAGATGTTCAGAAACGTTGGAATCTTGGTTCGCTTATCTTTGCAAGGGTTCTTCCTGGCAGGACTGGCTGTGTCGCAGAGACATAGCCAGCTCTTCTTTGACTTCTGTGCCAATTTTGTACCTCCAGTGCAATATCTGGGCCGGGCCGCATCATGATGCGCACCCATCTCGACCAAGACGGCCTAAGATGGCATGTAGCTATACAACCACAGACAAAACACGCGAAGCGGTATCGGATACGAAGACAACAATGCATTTCGAGGCTTCCTGGAGTGTCCACCCCCTATCAACGGGTAAACAGCACGATGTGTAAGGAGTGGGTGTTGGCTCTTTCAACCTGAAGTACAGCAGGGCTAGCAGCACAAACAGTAGCACAACCGCAAAACAACAAGCTACGATACCTTTTTCATCACACTCGCCGGGCTTTTTGCTCCACATGGGCATCAACCAATGTTGTTCGCACCCCACTTGTACCCTTCCGACAGTTGGCTGCTTCGATTTCTTGAGGCGCTGCTCGTAATTGCATTGAATATCTTCGCATGATGTTTGACGTCAGCGCTCGTTGTCAGTTTGCGGCGGCTGGTTCAGGGTTGCGGCGCAACCCCGACCAATGGTGCCGAGCCTCCGGGTGTTCGTTAGACAGACCGAAGCAGAAGGAATGTTGCGGCTGTTTGTGGTCCTTTCTCTCTTTGTCGCTTCTCTTTGCAAAACGCACCTATCGGTCTATCTATCCAGCGTCCACAGGCGCTTGCACAGCTGCGCATTTGCCACAGTCATGTTGTTTCGCGCTGGGAGCGAGAATTCGCCGGTAGTCATGAAACCCGAAGTTGAGCAGCAGGGCGCTGCTGATGGCAGGGGCACCGGGCACCGGCAAGACAGACAGGGCCCAAGTGCGGCAGCATCGGAAGAGAATCGTTCTCGGGCTCGGTTCGTGGGGCTTGTTGAGAGCGCACTAGGGATTAAATGATCCTGTTTGAATCGGGTTGGTGTTAAGAAAGGCGCTTCTGTAGGGTTTGTGGCTCAGGGTTCAGGGCCCAGTTTCGGCTTCAGGATTCAGCGTCGAGGATCAGCGTCGCAGGGTCTACCCTTAGGATTCCTTGGGTGTCGATTCTGGTGTTTGTTTTTTCATTGGTTTGAGGTCTTGGCCTGGTTTGAGGAGAGCTTAAAGCCGCTGCCGATTTAGCCTCGAGCGGCCTGGGAGTTCGACCATGAAAGAGTTGAGGAAGCGTATCGGTAGCAATAGATACAGGTGTCAGTATCATGAAGCACGACTAGGGCGAGCCACTGCAAAACCGCAATAACAGCGTGACTAGGACGAAGATGGTCGTCACAACAATAACAGCTTCCATAGCGGCGCCATCTCAGCATAGCACCCGCAAAAGACGTAGAGTCGTAGAGAGTCTGCCGCTGAGGCCTTGGCGCTGGCGATCGCGCAGGAGCTGGGCACAAAGGCTCGTTCCATGCCAAAGTCCTCTCGAGCACAGATTGCTGTGGATCTAGAAGGCAACCCAGAATCTGCAAACAGACTTTGAAGGATAAAACCAGGCTGACAATTCCAGAGGCCTTTCTGGAGCCTTGCTCGTGTTTCTTGCGAGGTGCCTTTCTGCCCGATGGTGGGCAGCGAGGTCTACTCTTCAGAGGCGACGGGGGCCTGCTCGGCAGATGACCCCCAACCATCCCCAAGCCCAAGTCAGCCATGTGAGACCTGAAGCTACGTACGGAAAGAGGAGGTTGTGGAGCTTGCTATATTAGGTCGCAGCCGATAGAGGGCTTACGGCAGGTCAAAAAGACCGAGATCTTGATGGAGAACTGCCGTCGAGCCATTGGGAACCTTGGAGCAGCCGAGTAATGCTTCCTGAGACGGTGAAGGCGCTCTCCTCTGCATCTGAGGATCCGAATAAAGGAGACCAAGGAGGTCTACGAGGGCGAAGTCACCGAATTGACACCCGAGGATGCTCCGAGTATCAACAGAAGGTGCTGTTCGTCTTGTTCATAATCTGCCCCTGTGGAGGAGAGACCAGATCCCACCGGAGGTTACGGCAAGAAAGTCACTGCCGTCCCTTGCCTGCAGGATATCCGAAGCGTGAGCCTGTCTAGCGCTGGCATCAGCATTGGGTAGAATGCCCTTCTTGGACGAAGGTTTCGTGTGCTGTGAGGCCCACATGTCTGTGCAAATCCCGAGTTCGATCTGTTGGTCGTCTGAGGTGATGATAGGTTTGAAGACCACGCCGGAGACCCCAGTTTGGCCAAGTGCGGTCCAGAGCCAGGGTGGTCGCCAAGCCTGTGGTTTCGTTTTTGGAGTCATTGCCCGGCTTCGCTGGGTCACACGGGCTTTTTGCGGCTCATCGTTGCAGCTGGGCATTTCGACATGCAGGCTTCGTGTCGGGACATGATAACGAAGACGTCACAAACAGGGGGACACAGGTACAGCAAATGTAGGAACCAGTGACTGGAGACCAGTTTCCAACAAGCATAGGCTTCCTAGATGTGCAGGTGCCACAAGAGACTGCGTACGTCCCTGTGGCATCCGACCCAGTACACAGCAGCCCCAACCGTGCAAAGGCAAAATCCCCGAACCCCAAGGTCTCCGGAAAGGCACAACCTCCACGGCCCCAAGCTTGTCAAAGCCACGGTTGTGCCCACCAAGGAAGGGCCAAAAGACCCTGAAACTGGCACCCCAGATCTATGAAAGTCTGCAGAAAGAGAAGGTCACAGCACATGCCTGAGACTGGATTGGATGTCAGGGTTCGGGGTCTTGGAATGTTTTTGATTTGGGGTTAGGCTTCGAGGTCTCGTGCTTGGAGTCTGGATGTGCTCGAGCTTCTCTCGGTTGATGTTTTACCTTCGAAGCTCCTGACGATGTCACAACCAGGTCGGTGATGTGATCTACATCGAGGCGAACAGTGGCGCTGCAAGAAGAGCACCTGGCACAGCTGGGTTATGATACTGGATGCTGTGCCTGTCATGGCCATGGCTTCAAGGCTCTGAGTTCCTTTGCTGAGGTTGGTCGCAGCGATAGCTACGCTACCGAATTCGATCTCGAAGCAGATGAGTGCCTCACCTCATGGAAGGCTTTGCTTGGAGTCGGTTACGAGATGGAAAGTACGTATCTTCGGAACTTGATCAAGATCTTGCAGGACCCACCAGGTGGGCCCCAAGACTTTTGGTGTTTTCCTTGTGGTTTGGCAAACTGTTTGCAGCGACTGCTTCTGGAACTCGAAGTCGCGTCAAGACTGACCAACGCAACAGGTACGTGCCGGTGCCAAAGGGCGATGTGCACAAGAAGAAGGAAGTCGTGCAGGACCCTAGAGCCCTCTACCTCGCGTTCTGGAACGCGGAACCTGATATCCCAAAGCCCCAGTGCTTCTTGAATGCAAACTCTTGGTTGCGCTGCGTCAGTGTTCGGAGACATGCTGATGCTTAGGCATGTGCGGTGTTTTAGGGATCTCTGGTTCGGGGGCGCTGGGGACCTGTGTATCGTGACATGGAAAACCCCCCAGTCCATTCACACATCCGCTAATGGCCCGGGGCCTGCAGGATGTGACTCTGCATGACTTGGACCAGGCCAACGCCAAGCCCCAAGGTGGTCAGGACCGAATTGATTGACGTCCAACGCTGCACCTGTGCCGCCGGTGCATAGCACCGCAGCTATCCTCCTGCCCTAAGCCCCTAAGCCCTAAGCCCAACTTGCAGATACTGGCAGCCTTCCGCAGGACCTGCAGAGTCTTATGGGAAGCTTCCTGAAGCCCCGGAAGACGGAGATCACGGAGAAGCTCCGGCTAGAGATCAACAAGGTTGTCAACAGGCGGGGGCGGGGAAGTCTCGGAAAGCGTGTGGGTGAGTTTGGAGCTATTTGTTGGAGACGGTTGAAGAATCTCGTCACAATACCGCAATGGAGCGTCATGGATGTCGAAGCGCGATCTGAAGTCTCAGCTAAAATAACACACGCCGACTTTAACTGTGGTTGTGCCCTTCCATCTTCCAGACAAGACAGCGGAACGACATAAATGTAGTGGTGCCCGCAAAATCATGCTCTT